CATTGGAATATAGTAAAGAGGATCTTGAGATACATCAAAGGGACCTCAAATATTGCATTATGTTACGGAGGATCAAATTTACTTATCAATGGGTATGTTGATTCTTACTATACAGGGGATTTGGATTAAGGCAAATCTACTACATGATATGTGTTCAAAGTTGCCGGTGGAGCTGTAAGCTGGGTTTCAAAATTACAGTCAGTTGTGGCTACATCCACAATAGAGGCAGAATATGTAGTAGCTACACAAGCCAGTAAATAAACAATATGGCTGAAGATGCTATTAGAAGAGCTTGGGCACAATCAAGTGTATGTTTCTCTATTTTGTGACAGTTAAAGCGCCTTGCATTTAGCAAGGAATCCAACATTTCATTCAAGGAAAAAGCACATACAAGTTCAGTACTATTTATTCGTGAAAAGGTGGAAGAATGGACGATAGATATGCAGAAAATCCATACCAAAGACAACATAGCAGATTTCATGACGAAGGCGATCAATGCTGATAAATTTACTTAGTGTCGATCCTCTTGTGGTCTGTCAGAAACGTAAGCAACACCAAATCTTCAAGTGGGAGATTGTTGAAAGTCCAAGATGCTTTCGGTGCATTAATGCACCGAATGATAAAGTCAAAAGCGGCAGTTTTTGTTGAAAAATGTGGCAGCAGATTTTGCTGAATTTGGTAAGGGAAAATTATCCAATTTAGTCCCTGTACTTTAGGGTATTTATAAGATTAGTCTTTACGCTTCAACTATAAATACCTTAACCCATTTAGTTTCAAAATCATCCCAAATCATTCTAGTTTTCTTCCAATACTAGAGAATTTAGAGAGTTTTCTTGAGAGTTGTTTTCTCTTTTTTATCAAGAGAGAATTGTCATTGTTTCTCCTTGTTAAATCGAGAGAAGTTGTAATTCCTATTTTCTCATAGTGAAATTCTTCTACCTTTTCCTGTGGTTTTTACCCTATATTTATGGGGTTTCCAACGTAAAATTTGTGTCTTCTTTACCTTCATCTTTATTTTCTCAAATTATCAGTTGCGATTTTGCTCTATCCGATAGCCGTATTCCGCAACAAAAGGATTGTCTGAGAGGTGACGACGATATCGATTTAGATTTGATAGAAGCTTATCGTTGAGGGAAAACCACAAGAAGCAATGTAATCATTCCGGAACACCATTTCTCCAAGGAATTAACCAATCTTTATTATGATTATTCTATTTAGATTTCATACGAGCTTGATAGACACTTTTAGTTGTATTCTCAGCTTAAGTGGAGGGATGAAGGATAGAATGGAAATATCTTAAGGGTTCAGGATTTATGAGCTGTTGGAGAAAGTTCCCATGCCAATCACCAGAGTTGAGCATAACCTCACTAACACGCAGATTTGGATCAATGAGAGTATTTCCGTATATCCAGTTAATAAAAGAGCCAAGGGATGAGATCCAACAATCAAACCAAAAGAGAGTATTAACACTGTTGCCTATAGACCAAGAAATATGGGATCAGAAAGCATCCCAAATTCTTGAAAGAGCACCCCAAAGTGTGGAGCAATTGGGTCTCGAAATGGAGTGAGGGCACTTATCTTTGATTTTATATTTATGACAAAGAATAGTAATCAGAAAATCATTCGTGTTGTTGGTCAAAGCAAAGCAGACTTTCCAAAGGAGATCAATATTATGATGTTGCATGGATCTAATACCGAGACCTCCACATGACTTAGGCTGGGCGATTAAACTCCAATTAAAAAGGGAAAAATTATATGAACCCCAAAGGAATTTACGGATTAAGCACTCAATATCATTACAGACTTGAGTTGGAAACATGCTTGATTGCATAAAATAGGTCGGAATGGCTGTTCGAACCGACTTAACAAGAGTAAGTTGCCCGGCAAAGGATAGTGTGGAGGTTGTCCAACAGTTAAGTTTCCTTTCAAGTTTGTCCCGAATGTACAGGAAAGAGCTGCACGTGACACATTTGTGAATCACCGGAACACTTACATAGGAACCAAGATCAATGACGTGGATGAAGCCAAGGGTAGAGCAAATAGAATTTGCAATCACAGCTTCAGTATTAGGGGAAAAGTAAATCTCGGACTTCTACGGATTAATCTTGTGGCCTGAAAAATGACTAAATTCCCCAAGGATGCTTTGAAGAAGACGAGCATGATCAACTGTAGTTTTTCTGTAGAGGATTAGATCATCCGCGAAAAATAGGTGTGACAAAGAGGGGTAATTTCGAGCAAGAAGAGGCACCCAGGTTCCGTTAGCAACAGTTTGATTAATCCTATGAGCAAAAGTCTCTCCATGGTAAGGACAAATAAATACAGAGAGATAGGATCGCCTTATCTTATCCCTCTAGTGGGCGAGAAGGGACGGCTCAAAGCACCATTCCATTGCATTTGTATAGAGGAAGTAGAAATGCATCTCATAATAAGATCAGAAATCCGAGGAGGAAAGTGAGCCTCATAGAGAGTATCTTGAATGAAATTTCATTTGAGTCGGTCAAAGGCCTTCTGAAGGTCGATTTTAACGGCCATTCATCCCGTTTTCCCTCTTTTCTTGCGCATATTATGAATATCTTCTTAATTTAAGATTATATTTTCATGAATCTTCCTGACTGATAAAAAAGGAATCTGGGTAGGAGCAATAAGCCTTAACAGAATCGGTTGGATACGATGGACAATGATTTTGGTGATGATTTTATAAATGACTGAGCAGAGCCCGATGGGGCGAAAATCAGAGAAAGTGCTAGGTGAGGTACCTTTAGGAATTAGGACAAGCATTGGCTAGGTGAGGTACCTTTAGGAATTAGGACAAGCATTGTTTTGTTTATGTCCTCCAGAATCTCATCGCCATCAAAGATTCGTTGAATGAGAACACATAAAGAAGGCCCAACCACTGACCAGTGTTTCTAAAAGAATTGTGCATGAAAGTCATCGGCACTGGGAGCCTTGAAAAGTGCCATCGCAAATAAAGCATTCTTGATTTCATCAGGCATAGGGATAGAATCAATGATATCATCTCCTCAAATGGAATCAGAGGAAAGAGACCATGAAGAGGAAACTTTTCAGTATGGCTATGCTCCGATTAAAAAAGATGGTGAAAGAAGCGCATTGTTTCCTTTTAGATAATAGAATCATTATTTCACCAATAAACATTTGATAGTTTGAGAGATGATATTCTATTCCGACGCTTATTATGGACTGCTCGATTGTGGAACCATTTGGTGTTTTTGTCACCGGATTGAATCCACTCAGCACGAGACATTTTAAACCAAATAAGTTCCTCTTGATTAAGAGTTTCTTCAAGCTCGGCAAGTAAATGTTGTTCAAGTTTGACTAGTGTCGAAACGGTTTTTTTCCCGGGTGAGATTTTGGAAACCACACCAATTTTAATTATTCTCTTCAGATTAAATTTAAATTAAAAATGAATGTGATTAAAAAACCTCTCGTTTCGAAAATTTAGAAATTCCTTTATGATAAAAATACGGTTCGAGGAGTCGCCACCAATCTTTGATTAAGGTGTGATTGGGCACCCAAAAACGTTTTGTCATTTTAAATAAAAATTAATTTTAATTAAAACAACAAATTTAGGTCCGTGTTACCAGAAAATGAGTTCGGGAGTCTGTTACACGTGGGGAAGGATTAGCACCCCACAGTGCCCTAAATCGGTATCTAGTCGATTAATTAATTGTCTTTGTAATAAAATATATACGTTCAAAATTAATTTGATTTATGATCCCCTAAAATAATATTTTTCAAAATTTTGGATGAAAGAATAATAATATTTAATTATTTCCTATCGAGAAGAAATGATCTATCATACCTTAAAGCAATTGATTCTTACTCCAATCGAAATAAAAAATATTAAAATTTCATTTTAAATTTCAAAATAATAACACCCAAAATAATTTTTAGAGATAAAATAATAATATTTAATTATTTATGATCGAACATTATTATTTTGAAAACCCTTTAAAAACACATGCAAAAGTAAAAAAAAAACAACTATCAAGCAATTGATTAATTATTTATTTACTAATATTTAATGAGAATAAGGATATTCAATTAATTAAATATCAAGAGACGAGACCATAGATTCGATCTAACTGTCTTTTCTCAATGAATTTAATTAAAAGAATATGATCTTTTCCTCATTCCCCAAATTTTATAAAATGGATTCGATTTAATTGGTGTCACTTTGCGGGATAGACTTTCATTTTAAAATTATCGAAAGTAACTTTCTTATCCGTTAAGACAATCACTTTACAACAATATTAAAATGCTCGAATATTACCCTTAATCCGATTATGTAATTAGTTCGCGTTATATTCATGAGGTTATCATACAATTTAATTGAATGATGTGCTAAAATTCAAGGGTATGCATAAAAACATATAATTAAAGTCATTTAATCATTCTACTCATTCACCATTCTCAACACACAAATCATAAAAGAAAAAAAAAACAATTCAATAATGACCCAATCACCGAAGGTAACATAGTATTAATTTAGGAAAAATGACATGATATAAATGAGTGTATGCACTTATGAATGAAAGATTATTACATGGTGATTTAAAGTGACATGTGTAACCATGATAACAAAGAGCTAACAAATGTGTGCATTAATAAGTGTGCATACGTATAAACAATAGAATTAAAATACACCAAATAAATATATATATACAACACCAAGAATCAACTACGTATGAGGCTTATATATATAAAATAAAAATACCGTGGGACTAACATGCAACTTAACAAAGTTATAAGTATTGGAACCAAGGTAAACCTCAAACATACATAGGAATGACATTCCAAATATATATAAACAAACAAACAAACATTTAAATTAATTAGGACCAGTGACCAAAATTAAATACGCGTTAAAGTTTTGGGGACCTAAACCTAAGTCTAACCCTAAAATTTGGTGGCTAAATACTAATTAACCCTAAAGTGTTAATATAAAAGCTAAATAAAACTAAAACTAAGCTACTTTACGCAGAAAACTTACCTGGCCGCCTCTCATCTCTCATCCAACTCTCTCCCTCTCGCCATGCAACCGTAAAACCAGGTAATGAAACTGATCCCTTCCCCTTTACTCTATCTTTTAGTTTTGAACGATTCTGACTTTAATTTCTTTTAATTTATTTCGGTCAAATGGCTACCAAACTTATTTGAGATGGTTTTTTATTATTTCATTTGAAAGGTTCTTAATTCTAAGAATGGACAATACAAAAACTTAAGGGATATAAGGGTTATTGGAATATTCAGATGCTTACCCCGATGACTCCGGCGGGATTCCTCCTCTCGACGAAGGTAACTCTTTCCTCGGCTCAGGTAATGAATCAAACCCCTCTTATTTTTAATTTCTATTTCGTTAACAAAGCACAAAAATGATCTTTCGAAAGATAATAAAATGCTTTTGAAATTTCGTTTCTTTAGGAAATCTGTGATTACAAGAACGAAAATGAGCCCCCTTTGATTACAACGAAACCTCCTTTTGTTCGGTGAGTACAATGAAAGGGAGTGTTTTTTGGTTGATTTCTCTTTTTTCTGTTTCTTTCCTGCTAATGGTTCCTGCTACCTCCTTAATTGTTTCCCCTTCGTATCTGTTAAAAACTGAGAAAACCTCCTCTGCTTGCCAATGGTTTTTTTTTCTGCTTGAAACGTTTTTCCCCCCCACGTTTCTGGTCGAGAGACCCCAATTTTATTTCTTCTTCTTCACCGAATCTTCTTGTCATCTTCTGTTATTTTCCTTGTGTTTGGTGAAGGTTTGATGGGAGCAGTTAAATATTTGGCGTATGCAATGACGTTCTCTGAAGATTTGGGTGCTTCACGTGATGGTGTTGCAGGACATTTGGTGGCAGCTCATACACGTGAATGAGAACAGCAATGAAGCACACATGCACCTCTGATGACTGACGGGTCATATCCGAGCTTGGGCTGATTCGAATTAATTTTCTGGGTTCCTGGATTTGTTGTAATTGGGCTACAAAATATGTAATAATAATAAGTAATAATAACAATAAATATATAATAAAAAAACGAGACGGAAAAATGAGTGTCGACAACTAGAAAAGGAGTCCTCTTTATGTCAAGGGAAAGTTGTGTGCCACGAAGCCTTGTCATGATCATACGTTTCCTTTTGCCAATAGAACCATAATTCCACTCAGAGGCTGGCGAACGGAACTGATTAGGAGTATCGGAGATTGATCCGGTGTAAGACCAATTATTGCAGACAAATAGCGCAAAATCTTTGTGATTCTACTAGCCAGAGAAGTACCGAAACTAATAAACTTTGGAATTATTAGAATTACGGCCGAGACAAATCAACAAAGGTCTGTGATCAGATTTCATGCGCATTAGATGATGGACGATCGTGTCATGATGAGCCTCAAGCCGGAGATGATTGCAAAGGTTGTGATCAAGACAAACCGAGCAATTACCTTTATACCAAGTTTAATTTGGACCAGAAAACCCCAAGTCTTGGAGGCCAGAATCAAAAAGCAGTAGAGGATAAATCCTTATCAGGTTTAACAGAGCAAGCACAACCCGAGCGATCCAACAGATGAAGGGTAACATTAAAATCTTCGAAAATAATCCAAGGTTCATTAATAGCAGAAGCAAGCAGTCGGAGGTAAGATCACAGAGGTTTACGTTTGGTAGGATGAGGGCTTGCATAAATAAAAGTTGCTAGGAAATAATTACCCAACAAAATTTGAACTTCAATACGGGCACTTGACCACCCTCACCTCTACTTACATCCACCATTGCTTTTCTCTCCCTTCTCAATCTCTCTACTATGTAGATTTACAATAAAATACTCTAATGTCAATGAACAAAAATGAGTCTAAAATATTAAATTTTAGAGGAAAGTTTGAAGTTTTATTTTTACACAAGTTTAGTAAAAAAAATAACAATATTAAAGATTTAATGGTCGAGTGATAAAAAGAATAAAATTCCAAATTAAATGATGAAATTGAAAATTCTTAAAATTAGATACCAAAATATAAATATGGACAAAATTAAATGACAAAAAGTTGTTTACCCATATTTTAATTATGAATCCATCCGTTCCTTATACAAAACTTAAGAACTTACTGACCTCGAAGTTTATAAAATTTTAATAGTTAATGCTATTGATTAACATAATCAAATATTTCCGTTAAATGCTTGAGTGTGTTTATTACAAATTGAACTGACATCTTAATTTTTGTTAAATACAACGGTCCAGTTTTGACAAATTATTTAGTAATTTGTTGAAAATTTAATATTTTCAATAAATTTCATTTTATTTCTTTCAGGATTATATTATTTTTTTAAAATTTATTAAATAATACTAGAACAAAAATAATATACTCATTCGATACCGAATCAATTAGTTCCCTTTGTTCATTACTAATTTTCATCAGTAAAAATATATCTTCAAATCATTTTCCAGGTTGAAGAGCCAAAGACTTGTTATATAGTATACAAGAACATGCACTTAGTCTTCACTGATATTAATGCAGGATAGTTGTCGACATTGTTTTTCACCCGGATGAGAAAAAACTTAATACGACTTGAGGGTTTTCTTTGAAAATGTTTTGAAATGTTTTGGAGTCGCCATCGACCTTTTGAGTTAGGTAGGTCGAATACCTAAACATATCTTTTAAAAAAGTTTTTTTTAAGAAAACATCATTTTAAAAGATTAATCAATCTACGTGTAACCGGAGATTTATTTATTTTTTGTAATAAAAAAAGGGTTCGGGGATCGATTACGTGTGGGGAATGATAAACACCCTCACAACGCCCAAAATTGGTACTCAATTGATTATAAATTGTCTATAATAGTGGAAATCTAAGAATTCAAATATAAATTTAAATTACGATCCTATTATTCCAAATTCAACCATAAAATTTTTATTTAACGGGAAATTCTAAGGAGAAATATAAAATATTCTAATATTTCCAATTGAAGAGAAAATAATCCCTAAAGTATTTTAGGACGAATATTTCTCTTTCCAACTAAAATAAAAAGTATATAATAATTTCTCCCAATAATTCAAGATTAAAATAATTCTATTCGACCAAAGAAAGAAATTAAGCCTATTAATCCAAATTATAGATTTAATTCGAAAAGATAAGGGATTTTAATTATTTAAAAATATCGAGACATAATCCCTAATAAAATTAGGTGAATCGTCTCGATAAGTTTAAATAAAAGAACATTTCCTTTTTCTCCTTAATCTTAATTAAATTAAGCAAACTCTATTTTTTAGGTTATTCAAATAGGGTATTTATTAATTTTAAAATATCAAAATATGACATCTAGTTACTTTTTTGGATAAATAAGATTTTATTATCCAAAGGAAGCAAAAACTGCTACAAAAGAACCAATCCAATCAATGGAACAAGATCAAGGGTAACCTATGTACAAACAAAATCATAATATACCCCAATTATTACATATATCAATATTAGAGCTATCTAATATATTAATGTTTCTGTTACTTAAGTGAGAACTAACAATTTGCTTGATAGCTTGGAGTAATTCCCCCTCGGTTCTGTGGGCACCTCTGAAGTGCCTATGATTTCTTTCCTCCCAAATTGTGTAGTTGAATGCACACCAAGAGAGCTTGAGGATGCAAGTAATTAGTGATTGACCTTTCCAATTTGCAGTCACCCAAATAAAGAAGTTAGACCAGGATAGCTGGGGTTTTTGAATACCTGAAAAAAGAAGAATAGAGTTCCAGATTGAGGCTGACGTTTTGCACTCTGCAAAAAGATGATTTCTGGTTTCATTAGCTTCAGAACATAAGATGCACTGAGTGTTAGTAAGAATTCCAAATCTATGCAGCCTGTCCTTAGTTGGCAAACAGTCCAGAATTATCATCTAAGTGATGATGTTGTGCTTGGGGATGTGCAAAGGATACCAGATCAGTTTCTGCTAAGAAACTTTGCTGCTCTTCAATCTAACCTCTTCCCATAAACTTTTAGTACACTTTAATTCTGCAGACAGAATATGATAAGCAAGTTGTCTAAGCTTCATTATTCTCTTAAGAGTCCAGCTAGAAAAATTTGGAATGTTCATGGACCAAAAATTTTGCTGCTTGATAATATATTTATGAGTCCAAGTAACCTATAGAGAACCCTCACCAGCCAACAGATTTTTAATAAGGATGATCGTGCAGACTTTGTTCCAGGACTTAATGTCCTTAATCCCTAATCCTCCTTCAGACTTTGGCATACAGATTTGATCCCAACTCACTCTAGCTCCAGAGGTTGGGATATCAGATCCTTTCCAAAAATATCTGGAGCATATTTGTTCAATCTTATGTATGACAGATTGGGGTAAAATCAGTTGCATGCACCAGAAATTTGCAACAGAGAATATAACAGTCTTAACAAGTTCAATCCGACCTGCATAACTAAGTTTCATCCTAGACCATTGGTGAAGTCTGGAATGAATCTTGTCAAGGAGAGGCTGACAGTCTTTGGGAGAAAGCTTCGTGGTTACCAGGGGCATTCCCAAATATCTAACAGGCAGCAGGCCATGCTTAAATCCCAAATAAGAAATATTTTTATCAATAACTTGAGTAGAAATTCCAGTAGCAAAGATTTCACTATTGAGGGCATTAAGTTTAAGACCAGAAAGCTCATAGAAAGAGTTGAGGACAGTAATGACTCCCAAGACATAATCAAGGTTACCTTTGCAGAATATAAGAAGGTCATCATCAAATGTTAAGTGTGTAAGGCCAATTTTCTTACACTTTGGGTGAAAAGATGAATATCCCTTTAGCAGCTACAGTATTGAGCATTTTTATAAGATATTCATAACAAGCACAATTAATAGAGGGGATAAAGGGTCACCTTGTCTAAGACCTTTGGCACCCTTGAAAAAACCAATCAGACTTCCATTAAATGCAATGGAATAAGTAGCATTAGAGTAGCAAGCAACAATCCAGTCTATAAGAGAAGTAGGGAAATCAAGAGCCTTAACGATAATAGAAATGATACCCAAGTGAACTGAATCAAAGGCTTTTTGGAGGTCTATCTTGATGGCACACCGAGGAGAGATATTTTTCCTCCCATACCCTTTCACAATATCTTGAGCAATGAGAGTATTATCAACAATACTTCTCCCTTTAACAAAGAAATATTGATTAGAGGAGATAATCTGAGGGAACAAAAAATTGATTCTCTTGACAATAATCTTAGTGATAGCCTTGTAGATGACAGAGCAGCAAGAGATTGGCCGTTAATTCGAAACTTTACAAGGGTTTGGAATTTTGGGAACTAAGGCAATGGAAGTTGCATTCAAAGCAGGGTAAATTATAGACTCCTGAAAGAAGAACTTAATGGCTTCAATCACTTCTTCGCCAATCACAGGCCAAGCTTTCTTGAAGAAAAGATGCGTGTAACCATCGGGTCCTGGGGGGCCTTATCGTTACCTTGGCCATAAATAGCTTCAAAAATCTCTTGGGAAGTGACTTCCTTTGTGATTCCTTGATAGTTATCACTTCTTGGAATAGGTTTAAGAAGATCTTTGAGTAAGCTAACAGAATAGTTTGTGACTTTAGAATCGGTTGAGCCAATGAGGTTTTTGAAAAAATTAATAAACTTTGAGGACATGTCTTCGAAGGTGTCTAATCTCCTTCCTTGGTCATCAATAAGAATTCTTATGGTGTCTTTTTTATTCTTTGTAGCAATTACATAATAGAAGAACTTAGAGTTTTTGTCCCCCTCTTTGAGCCAATGAGTTTTTGTTTTTTGCTTTAAGAACATGGCCTCGGCTTCTTCTAAAGCATTTATTTCCCTTTGCAAACTGAGATCCTTTTTAATGGGCTCTAAACCTATTAAATAAAGCAATTGATGCTTTTTAATCTCTTCATGCTTTCCCCTAACCCTAGCAGAAATATCACTGAAAGAATCCTTGTTGAGTTGCTTAAGATTGGATTTAAGTCTTTTAAACTTAAGGAATAGCTTCTTCATAGGGTTTTCTTGATAAGGAGGGTACCAAGATTGAC